TGGATCAAAGCTATTGCCTCCTCCAATACATCAAGGTGGCGACATAGTGTTGCCGTTGCCGCCTTTTTGTGTTGGAGGTTGCATTGTATTATTTTTACTTTTTTTCCAACGTCCTTGCCCATGAGACAGTTGTTGGATACAAAGTTACCTTCAGAGGTCCATCTGCTCCCCTGCTGAGGGGAGGTGGCCTCGCTCTTTTTGGGTGCCTCCTCCGTCAAGTCATCGACTGTCATCTGTTCAGATGCTTCGACTTCCTTTTCGGGACCAATGGTGGCCTTGGGGTTAATATCCGCTTTAGGTGGTTCAACTTTCAAGGACCTAGGGTCTTCAGAGGTACCCTCTGTTTCTTTTTTTGTTGCCCTGATAGTCAGTGAGGTAAACGCGTAGCTTAACCTCAGCGACTTCTTCTTTAGGACAGCCATATCATCGTCTCCGATCCCGAAGAAGAAGAGGTGTCCTTGTGGGTTCATCTTAACCTCATGATGGAAGGTGCACCATCTTGCTACCTTCAGGTCAGGGTTCTGCGCCTTCAGCCGACCCAGCACCCTCTTCTTTTCACCGGATGTCGTCTTGTGGACGTCCTCCGGGATCCAGAGTGAGGCTTTGGTAAGCTTTGGGAGCTTATTCACACTGACGACCGCAAGTTATGCCTCCTCCCATGGCTTACTATTCATTGTGGCTTCCTTCAGCCACGCTAGCGTCACGTCGTCATCGCAGACCACTCTGATGATTTCACCGGAGTATGTCCACGACTTGAACGTGGGCGGTTTGCTGTTGTTGCTGGAGGCGGAGAAAATGATCTTGTCCAGCTCCTCCAACAGTTGTTTTTTGATGAGACTCTCTCGTTCTGCGGTAACCTTACCGTACGGGTTAATCTCATCTATGATGGCTACCTTGAGGTGTCTCAAGGCGGCCTCCACGAAGGTTTTGGAAGGTTTATGGATTCCAGGATTGGTTTACCCCAAGGCGTTTATTTTCCCTTCGAAGCTTGATACCTAACAGTTGTTGGACTACGATGACTTGGACTTCTTACAGGTCACTGTAATTTTAATCAACATATGCAGAGACTTGGACTGTCGGAAGACAGTGTGTGTCACCTCTGTTTGGAAAATGATGAAACAGCAGAGCATATACTTTGTGCCGGCCCTTCGAATTATATAGATAACACTTTTTCATACTCAGTTTGTACTCTGAATATTCGTAATGAAATTGATTCAGATAGATCACATTTACAGGATTGTTACATAATAATGTATATAATGGAAAATGAGTATTTCGAAATAAAATATCGAGACATTCGTCTCTCACAACTACCTGCATTGTAGATTCTGGTGAATGCCTGCCGATAAACAACTAACTTCCCGGCTAATACCACACTGGATATTGAATTATATCCGACAGACATTTATGCAAGATAACTCACGAAAGTAAGTCTCGCAGATGTTATTCGTTCATCCAGCAACATCAGGACCCTGCTGAAATCATTCGACTACATCACCCACAGGTCGATTTCGAATTATTACCTGTCATCAGTGCAGGGATGAATCGACCCAAACAACGCGGCTCAACTGCATGTATGAAACATTTTCTCCGCTTAGAATCAATTCCGAACTTTCGTTATGAAATTGATTCAGACATTATTCACAGGATTATTTCATAATTTCGTGTATGAAAGAGGTGAAATGTCACAAGGAACACTGTCATCCTCAATAATGAACATCGATGTTCTGGAATACGACACCTTTATCACCTCTTCAGCACCACACAGAGAAATTTTTTTATCTCTTCCCCTAGTAACCAAATTGACTTTTCTACACCAAAAATACAAACAGCATCTAACAATCAGATGACACAGTTTTGAATCATTGTCAGAATGATCTGGACAGTTGACTGGGTTAAAGGATAGTTGCTCTAGTATTATTTTCCTCAAAATTTGTGAAATATTTGTAAAATTACACAAACGCTTATTCTATTCCTTGTTGGTGTCCGGAAATGACNTTTATCTTTTCCCCTAGTAACCAAATTGACTTTTCTACACCAAAAATACAAACAGCATCTAACAATCAGATGACACAGTTTTCAATCATTGTCAGAATGATCTGGACAGTTGACTAGATTGAAGGATAGTTGCTCCAGTATTATTTTCCTTGTGTAACGCTTATTGTATTCCTTGTTGGTGTCCGGAAATGACTTTCTTGCTCTTGCTCAAAAGTGGAAGTTGATGGCTAGTTTTTATAGCTATCATCACAGCTTCCATGACCTGAAAAATTACATGAATATATAATTTCTCTTTCTTTCTTTCATATATTGTGTAAAATTAACAAATTGGTATGTATGATGAACATTCCAAGATTTTTCTATTCATACCTTGGGTAACACTGATAATTTCATTTCTGGAAGGTGTACCAAAACAAATTTCTTGCTCAGGTATGGAAGTGGAGGGCTGACACATGTCCTCATATTGTTCTTGGCCTATAAAATAAAATTGCAGCATTTGGATGGATTTTTTTTTATAAACTACATATATTATGGAACTACAGTTTTACAATAATTCTTACCTGCCACAGAAGACCTACTCATTCTTGCCATACCTCTTGGTTCTTCGATAGTTTCTGAAAACATGTAGAACACCATTATTCAACCACATGATAACATCTCTATTTTTCTGCACATTCATATAGCAATACTTATGGTGCACTCGATAAGTGGTTAATCTAATTATTGTTTAATAATGAGAATATGATGAATAAGATATATAAACTAGAATTGCAAGATATCGAAAGGAGTAAGGATCATGCTTACTTAGCAGGAAGAAATAAAACAGGTACAGCATGTCGTTTTAAACCTCTTCTGCTAGTAATTTTATCTTCAACAGCGAAATGTCTGTCACAAACTCGTGAGTTACAATAAATTGTCTCATGGGGTACATTGAAGAGTTCTTTATTGTTTATATTCTTGAGCGAAATCAGCGGGGTCATCTTTGGGAAACCGATGTTGACTACTCTTCCTATCCTCACAAGAAGGAACGCAGCACTTTTTTCGATATCGTTTATGTTCGGAAGTACTCATTACGATAAAAAAAAATAGGAAACTGACAGTACACAAGCAAAAACACAATTTGAAAAGGAAAACAGTCCCAAACCATATTTATACATTATTATCACAACAAAACTAACGGACGTCCTACCTTATTTAAGTTCATTCTTCTTCTGTAAACAGTAATTTGAATCATGCGCGCGCAGAAGGCACGTGATTCATTACAGAAAACTGGAGAAAACCCCGATAGTGTTGCCATCCCTGGTTTGGCAGCCGCGTAACGTATAACCAAGTGTTGCCATTCAACTTACATTTCTATGTGAGGCTGTTTTGTGGACGATTATTCAGTACGCTTTGGGGATTTTCTTCACCGTTTTTGAAGTCGTCACCTCATTTGGTCAACCACTGCGATGCAGTGGTTACATTCTGCTACCCAGTATTTTACTGTTGTGAACAAAGAAGCAGACTCACATAGAGTAGAATTCAGTTCAACTTTTATATTGGTTGTGTTGAGGCCCTCCAAATAAAAGTATTCTACCACAAAACGATGTACAATTTTCTCCATTTTCACAGTTTCGCCGAAAACATTTGCCATTGATAGCTGTCAAATAGATAGTAAACAACGCAGCGTCTTCAAACTTGAAACATATGCTTTGTATATTATGTATTTTCTAATACAGTGATATTTTTAAACAACTACCGCCATCTCTACGTCAGTCCGGGTACTTATGGTATCACCCTGGTATCACTTTGAGTAGCATAACTCTGAATGAAATCTGTCTCAATCACTCCGCTAACGTGGAGTGCAAATTGAGTTGTTTCACATAGATTTTTTTCCCTGAAATATCTGAAATATAATTAAATGCATTATCTACTCATCTTTGTAAATAGTTTTCATTGATCTATTTGAATACTTTTTTCGTTCTTCAGACGTTTCTCATTTTCTATGGAATGGTGGAGAAATAAACAGCAAAACCAATCCAAGAACTCATTCCTAATATTCCCAAAATAGCTTGCCCACTACTGAAATTTATTTTGATTATCTAGTTCTGTTCGTTGTGAGGAAAAATTGATATTGCGATCATAATGATTTGGAACTTTTAGAGTCTATGTCTGATATATTTGAATTGAATTAACTGAGTTGGCTTAGTAAATGGTAATGTGTGATAATTTCATATTGCGAGCAAGAACAGTTCATGATCTATCTTTGTGAATTGTAGAAAGTTTTTTGAGATTCTTACTTCATCTCTATTTGAGTAGAGTCGGTGGCATCTCCTCTTACTAAGACGCTGTCTTTGGGATCAACAAAAGGCTCAATCTGTAAATTTGAAAGATAAAGAATGCTTCCCAGAGTGGACCGTTGCAAAGCCAAGCATTGACATCGACTTGCGAACAAAATTCGATTAAAGTCTTTCACTTCACATTTGTTTACAAGGCAATCAACTGAAAATAGAGCCTGAAAACGAAGCATTCAACACAAGAAAGTGCTGTTCCGATACGACATAGGTATCATCAATGGTACTGGGCTAAATGAAAAATGCATTTCTGGACTCTACTGTCCTTAAAGAGAACTCCTAGCGAGTAGAAGCCATGACATCTCTCTTTATGAAGGCGCCATCTAAGGTATTAACAAACTCAATCCTCGAATATCAAAGATAAACAAGGATCTCCAAGACAATATATTTGTGAAGAAAAAACATTATGTGTGTTGGAATGGTTCGTGAATGAGTTATGGACTTCAGAAATGACCACACAAACATTCACGATGAGGATTTGGCTGGGAACAATTGAATCATCCTCCATACAGTCCTGACCAGTACCGAGTGACTAAATTGTGTCTCTGTTTTTGAAGGCGCGTATGGCACACAAACATTCACGATGCGGATTTGGCTGGGAACAATTGAAGCATCCTCCATACAGCCCTATCTGGCTCCGAGTGACTATAATGTGTTTCTGTATGTGAAGGCGCGTGTGTCACACACATATTTACGATGAGGATTCGGCTGGAAATGATTTAATCATCCTCCATACAGTCCTGATCTAGCGCCGAGTGACTACAACGTGTTGATATATTTGAAGGCGCGTGTTGCTTCAAAGTCAAAACGAGTGTGCTGCAGTGGTTGTCTGATCAGGCGACAATCTTTTTCGAGGATGGATTACAAAAGCTAATCCTACGATAAGATAGGTGCCTTATTATTTACAACATGAATTATGTTGAAAACTAGAGTGAAGGATGGTCATTCATGTGAATAAAAGTATTTTGAAAAATATTCACTTGCTGTTCATTGTAAATAATATGTAATCGTTTCAATGTCACTATTAGCACTTTGTAATCTAAATTCAAGAATAAGTTCGACCCATACTGATGTAACTAACATTCTAAATGGGCAGGCTGACAGTGGCCGTTCCCTAACTTTGCCAGCTGAGTGAATATATTTTGTTCTATGGCACTATTTCAGCATGAATACGAGTCCACAACATACAATATGAAAACGGTGTGATAATTTGGGAAAATAAAATATTTCTCAAATGTACTATTTTGTCATGGTTTCCAGAATGGTTCAAGGGTAAATTTGTCCCCATATTCATTTTTCAAATATCAAAATTCATCAGAAGTAGATCAGTTATACAGGGACTGTGGCGTATTACCTGGGGGACTTCGTTATGTTAGTGAGTGTGCGATGTAATAGATGTATAGTATCGGAGAGATTCAGTTGAAAGATAACAACGTGGTTGAATTATAAAAATAATGGCTTAATAATAAAGAAGAATTAAAAATCGAACTTGAGAAAAAAACATGGTGGCGGGTTTAAGAAAAAACATGACAGTTTAACGAGGCGTTTTAACATGCTACCCCTCAATGTATACAGGGTATTTCAAAATACGTCATTTAAGAAAAAAACATGACAGTTCAACGAAAGTGTAGCGTTTCAACGTGCGATCCCAATGATAAACGTATTTATTTTCAAAAATGTTGTGGAGTTAACGTACGAAAATATGTTGTTTTACATGCGTTACGACCGTTTTTCGTGCCGGGGTCCTAACGTTTTAACGTGCAATTTCTCAATGTGTACAGGTTGTCTCAAAATATATCATTTAAAAAAAACATGACGTCAATGTGTAGAAAGTGAGGCAAAATACATCATTAGAAAAATTATGCGATGTGAACAAAAAAAAACGATTTGGTATATTTGAAAAATCAAAATTTTACCTCTTGTATACATTTTTTAATGGTTTTTCTTCATTTCAGAATATGAAATATGGAACGCCAAGAAGATACCCAAAAAAGTAACTTTTCTCAACTGACTTTCAAGCACTGATAATCAGTGGGAGGTTTGCTGGGCTTGAATATTTATATCTTGAAGAATTTCCTAAATATAAATATGCCTACAAAAATTATTTTTTTGATCAGAAAGAATTAAATGATTTTGTCTATGGACAGACACTGAGTCTGCACTTTAACATATGGGCTGAAAAGTCCCAGGCCTAAGAAAGCAAACGCTGTTTTTTGCTCAAAACTGGTTTTATTCATCAATTCAATCTCCATCAAGAGCCAAACAATCATTCCAGTGCCACTTTAACATTTCAATACCGCTTTTGTGGAACGATTTATATTTTTCCTCAAAATGGACCTCAGTTTCACCAATGATCTCTTCATTTGAGCAAAATTTTTCACCAGTGAGCCTTTTTTCGAGGTCTGTGAATAACCAGTAATCGCTGTGAGCCAAATCTGGCGAATACGATGGATGTGGGAGCAATTTGAAGTTCATTTCATGTAGTTTTGCCATTGTTTTGACTGACTTGTGACACGGTGCGTTGTTTTGATCAAACGAAATTTTTTTCCTTGCCATACGAGTCATTTATTTGCAATTTTGGCATTTGAACGCTCCAATAACGCTATTTAATATTCACTATTAACGGTATGTCTCTTCTCAAGATAGACGATGAATATTACATCACGTACATCAAAAAATACCGAGGCCATAACCTTTTCATCCGATTGTTGTGCTTTCAGGCACTATGGACGAGGTTCACCAGTTGCTCTCCACTCAGATGACGATTGTTTTGATTTCGGAGTGACATGATGGACCCATGTTCCATCCAGTGTCACACATCGATGCAAAAATTCCGGTTTGTTATGTTTAAACATGACCAAACACTGCCTCAAAATCATCAAGAAGTTCTTGTTTTTAGTTCAATCATTCAAAACGAGTGATATTTTATGTTTTCTGGTATTACTGCCTCATTTGGACGTACACTGCGTTCTTCATCTTCGGTGTTCTTACGACCACGTTTGAAGTCAGCATACCAACGTTTAATTATTGTTTCTGATGGAGCGGAGTCCTTATAACACTTTTCAAGTGATTATTACTTTGCTTGTGATTGCTTTGCTTGAACGGTATTTTTCCCATCAAAAAGTAGTGTAAAATGAAAACACGAAATTGTTTTCATCCACTGTTTTGAAAATAACAAAAGTCGTGTCACTCTTAGCACAATAACTCACAAACTAATCAGTAGAATATCATGAAACTCGAACTGCTTTCTTCTCAAGGTTAGTACTAACTGAAAAGGCGGTGATTGCAATAACTTGCGC